ATTGTTCATTGAGTGGGCAAAATAATAAGGTGTTCTAGCTGCAAATAACGATACTCATTATAAGAGTGTCGATATTATCTCTAGGGTATCGATACTCAAAGGATAGTATCAATACCATTTTAGGATTTAGGATTCTAGTATCCTATTTTGATAGTGATTCTCAAGGGAGTACCGATAATAGGACGAAGATATCAATATTCAACATGTTTTTCAAACATCAAATTCATTTTTTGTATCGATACTCAGGGCAGTATTGATACCCTTATATAAAGTATTGATACTCTAGAACAAGTATCGACACCCTCATCTTGAATTGGATAAGAAATCTATTGTATCTTAAGCACTCTCGATATAGGGACTAAACACCATCTAAACTCTATACATAAGACTTTAAGTGAAAACAACGCAAATGGCTATAATTACATCTAGAAACGATATAATTTAGGGAATCATAAAATTAGCCTTGTATGCTGATTTGAAAATGATAAGGACACCTGAGCTACTCTAGGAGCTAAGTAAACACTTGCGTGGTAAAATGTCTAGACAAGTCCTAATTAGTGCACAAGGCACTTCTTACCAACTGGGAAAAGATGCCCTAAGTACTCGTTGGGAGTAGGTTGGTTAGGTGAATGTTATCAATGTAGAAATTTTAGATCTCACCCTAGATAGGCTAGAGGGGTGTGTGTCTCTAAGAAGTAGAGAAACCCTCCGACCATACCATGATGCCCACCTTGTATATGTTTAGTTTTGCTTCCTCGCATGCAATTAATTACGTTAGCAAACATGATTATATAATGGACGCATATAGTATAGTTTGGTTATTAGTATGGCACTAAGCATGTGAGCTCAGCATTTGAAAATTATTTCCGTACGTAGGTACTTAGAGGAAGGTTTGAGGAGGTTAGCGTGCTGAGTGCATTCTATACCGGCATCATCGATTAAGTATGTCTCGAGTATATTGTAGAGGGCATGGACTGTATATGGACCTTTTGTATTCGAGTTATAACTGTATTTTTGAAATACCCTTTAAAGTTTATTTAGATGTATTTTGGCGACTCCCGTAAACCGAAACTTAATGATTTTATTTCTATTTTATGATTATGGTGAATCTTTTTGTGTGGTTTTATAATCATATTTTTAAAGAAAAGTTTTGGGTTAGCCACTTTGGTGGTCCGTGTAGCATACTAATCATTCAGTTTTCGGATCGTAGTGAATTAGGACATTACAAACATATTCCATCAAGAGACGGGAAAGCTTAGGGCTATAAACGAGTCGAGTCGAGTCGAGTTCGAGTATTATTGAGCTCGACTCGACTCGAAAACTCGTGAGTCTAAAATTTTTATGCTCGACTCAAACTCAAAATCATGAACTGAAGCTCGTAAAAGCTCGAAAGGAAAAAATCTTAAACTTAACTCGATCAAAGCCTCAAACTGAAACTCGAACATATACGTTAAATACATAAAAACATTATACTATATTTTAAAAAAAACAACACATAAATGTTAATATTATCAATAATTTATTTTTAAAAAAAATAAATTCTTAATATATTATATTTTTGAGTTGCTTACAAGTTTTTTGAGTTGGGTATAAAGTAGCTCGATTCAACTCGTTAAGAACTCGAGTCGAGTATTTATCGAGATTTGACTGAGTCGATATCGAGTAGCTCACGATCTGTCTCGTCTTATTTACAGTCCTAGGTAAGTTTTTGTTTTCTATGCTGGCAATTTATCTAGTGTTTGTTGAGGGATTTTTTTTGCTGATATAGAGGTTTGTAGTTGTTTGTTCATTTATGTGTTTGTTGGCGGTCAAAAAATTTATTTTCGGTTTGGGTTCGTGGCTGCCAAAAAACTGGCCCACCCTATCCCGTGTCTATCCCTAGAAGTGATATAGTTAGGGTGAGTGTTTAATCGAATCAAATTTTACTCACCCAAAATACAATTTTAAGCATTAAAGAGATGTACGAGAAGCTAATTGAGCTTGTAGGACGTGAGCGTATGGCGGACCCTGAACCTCTCTCCCTTTCTAATTCTCTCTTCTATTCTCCTTGTCTTCTTTTCTATGATTATTTTCTTCCTCTTCAATGAAAATTCAACTTAAATATTTCAATTCAGATCATTGAGTATTTGATTTCATAACACAATTTTTATCTAAAATTTCTTATGAAATTTAAAATCTCTTACTTTTTTATCCAAACAAAAATTTTAATTCTTAAAATATTAAAAACCTTGACAAAAATGATTCACCTTCGTCAAAGTCCTCATCCAAATACACTGTTAATTATTTTCTCCTGAATCTCATTCTGTTTTTAGGTATAGTTTAATTTTAACCAAACACGTGAATATAAAAAAATGTCTTCATTTTCTTGAAGATGAGCCATCATTATTACACAATCGCCTGCTATGTCACCCTTTAACATATTAGTTAATCGACAGTTCAACTACATTGTTTGTCATCGAGCTATTGGCTTAATATGTGCGAGAACATGCTCATAATTAAGTCCGTTTATGGTTTAGTTTTAATCGAATTAATTGATTACATTAAAATTTAATTTTATTAACGATCAATTATTTAGATGTTAATTCGATTGATTTTTTTATGTTTCATTGTAGATTAATTTAGTATGAAATTGATTAATTAATCAAAAATATTTAATATTTAATATTTAATATACTATATATATTACTTACGTATTTTAAGTTCAAACTCGTTAAGTATTAAGATTTAATTATTTTTTAATCACTAAGCTCATTAAACTTTCAAGACCTAATTAATCAAACTTTAATCCAAATTAAAAATGTCTCTATTAAACTCAAATTAATCTAATTAAAAAATTGTCAACACTGGTTAAAAGTTCGAAGTTGGCACCTTGTATCTCTCTCCTATGTTGTGAGTTCAATATCCATCAAGAGCAAAAAATTTCCTTTACCCTCCCCCAATTAGAAATTGTTCAAAAAAAATTATAATTTTTTTATTATATCGGTTACCGACTTAATGAATTGAACTTTGTTCAATCTAATTACTAATTTTCAAAAAATAATCAATTCAATTAAAAATTAAAGAAAAATTGCTTAATTCAAGTTTAACTAAATCAATCCAATCAACAACTTAATTAATCGTTTGAATATCCTACTGGTAGCTCATACAACTAATCTTTAGATAATTGATCCTTAATCCTAAACCCTAATTTTATCCTCAACCGCGCCAAAACCTAAACCCTTCCCAATAATTGCATTATGTCGTTATCCCTCCCAACTAACACGAGCGTTCACATTCCTTCATTGTTTATAAGACAAAAGTTTTGTTGTTGATATGCTCTCACAAAAGTTGCCTTAGTTAATACAAATTAATCTATTTATTTATCAACTTAATAAAGCTATACTCAAATAATTTGTTTAATTAGATTTAATCATACCAAAAAACCCTAAAGCTTCTGATAAAGATTTATATTAGAAATTTATAAGTGAAAAAGTAACTAATTAATATTTAATAAATTATAGACAAAAGATGAAATTTAATATAATTCAATTTTGATTATCTTCAACATAAGGAAAAAATAAATAATTCGTTATAAATATAAAAACTACAAAAAAATATAAATACATGAAATTTTTTTATCTTATAATCATTTAACTAGTACTTTTTTTATAGAAGCAAATAATTTTATTTACAATAAAAAATGTCTCAAAATACAATAAAGAATTAAAATTACAATCGTAAATTAAACACATAATTAGGAAAATTTCCTATAATAATTGAAACAAAACCAACAACTTAAATTCACATAAGAACCATACAAGGAAAGATAAAAAATCTAACCAAAAACTCGAACAAAGATAGACACAAAAATATCTGATTGCATCTGTAAACAAACCACAAAAGGGAACAAGCTATTAAAAGACCGTCAGCAAACTGTAAATTAGACTTGAGCAACGTGAAAAACTATCACAACGTAATCGGGTATGTAAATCCAATTCGAGAGTCCAAAGTAGGGAACACCAACAATATATCATATAAGTGTCATCTTGATCAGTCATGGTAATATCAAATCAATACTTAGAAAGAAGATAAATGAAAAAAAGTCAAACGACTAAAAAAACATGTCAAAAGGTAGAAGAAAATGTGTCTTAAAAACAGACTTATTGAAAATAAAATAAAAATAGAGATATGATATAAAAAAGACAATAAAAAATACTGACAGTTGACAATTAACATTAAAATTGATGATGTCATCGTTTAACAAAGACAAGGAAAAAAGAGAAAAACGATATGCTAATAATAGAAAACTAGATTTTTTTTCAAAGTTCTATTGAAATTAAATCAATCTTTTAAATAATACTTACTTAAAGAAAGACATACACATTCGTACTTTCAAAAATTTTTAATAATTTAATATCAATTAAATGAAAATTCACATCCTTTAACACGATTTTTGAAAAATGAAATCAAGTTATTAACTAAGTAGTTGATCTTTGAATGCCTACTAACATGAAGAAAACATTATGCACTTAAATTCATTCGGATTAACAATCTTTAAAAATTTAGAATAAAATCAGGCGTATTAATATTTAATAATTATTTTGATACTTTAAAAAGATGAAAATGCAACCAAAAATTGCTTAATGACTCTAGTATGGACCCAGGGTGCTTGAACCATAATATATTTTTTAACCATCGAAGTAATTAAAAAAAGATAATGTTATAACGAATCTATATAATATTTTATTTAAAATAATCGAGAAATGTAGAGAATAATGGTGGTTGTAAAAACTAATAATTTAAGTATATTAATTTATAATGGTCTACAAAAAAAGTGGAAGAGTCGCAGCACTTCAAAAACGTGGTAAAATTAAACGTTTTCAGATCTCAACCACGAGCAACTTCCTAGAATCGTCTTCAACAAAACAATAAAGAAAACCAGAAATAAAATAATAAGAGTTTCAAGGTGTATATATATACATGTATGAACAATCTAACAGCGAATAGGAAGAACTCAACCAACCAAGCCATCCAGTTCAAATCCTTTTCTGGGCTCAGTCTCCAAGAACAAGAACAACACACCCAAATATGTACTGTGATAATGCTTCAGAATTTGATCTCAGCCTCTTGGAATCCATTCGTCGGCATCTTCTCAAAGATGATTTCGATAAATTCATTCCAGCGAAAAATGATGATGCGATTATTTTCGATCAATGGATAAACTTTGATCAGTTGTTTGTTGATGCATCGGAGGAGAAGGTCTCTGTTAATAATGTTCCATTCCCCAGCTCCGAATCGACTGTCCAGAAACCCCACGCGCCGCCGAAGAAGGCACATTATAGGGGTGTAAGGAGAAGGCCGTGGGGGACATACGCGGCGGAGATAAGGGATCTGAAGCGGAAGGGAGCGAGGGTCTGGCTCGGTACTTACGACACTCCGGAAGATGCTGCACTTGCTTACGACAGAGCGGCTTTTAAAATGCGTGGCTCGAAAGCCAAGCTTAATTTTCCAAACCTCATCGGCTCGGATCAGGCGGAGCTGATGAGAGTGACCGGTAGCAAGCGAAGAGTTTCAGAGCCATCTTTATCTTCTTGTTCATCGACTCAATCGCCGTCGTCTCCGTCGACGTTGGACGACCCGACTCCGAATCGAAACGGAGAGGGAATGAGATTAACTGTTCGATTAAGACAGAATTTGAACTAGATGTGTATCAGTTGATGATGCCAGCTGAATTTTGAGAGATAATAATTGAGTTGTACATATTCTGATAGTCGTTTCCTTTCACGGTAAATTACTTCTGTAATCATCAAATTATGGAGTTAAATCTATTTTGAAGACTAAACAAAAAAAATTGTTATTTAAAACATAAAACTTTTAACTTAATTTTAATTAAATCATTAATCGTTAATTATTTAAAAAAAATGATGTACGGGTACGAATCTTGAGGCATTTTAAGCTTTGTGAACCATCTAGAATGACTCTTAATAGAATATAAAAGGTAAAACCTCAATTAAGTCAAATGACAATTCAAATGATAATATTTTGCTTACATATTCTCTTCTTTGTTATAAAGGGAAAGTAGAAAAACTAAATTATCGAGAATAGGTAACAAAGGCAAAGTGGATAAGATATCATCACAAAAGTTCCCTTCACAATAAATGTGTTGGAAGGTTAGGCTTTGACTACGCCATCTGAAGCTGCGAATGTCTTCGAGATTCGTTCCCATAGGGTGAAAGGCGAATCTCCCTTCTAAATAAGTTGAAGAACTCTCCATGCATCCACCTTTCACTCTATAAACCCGTATCCGCGATCCCACCCAATGGATAAATCGATCCTTATCGCGTGAAGTTCAACAGCCACACTTGTACAAATCCCCAAGTGTGTTGAAAACCCCAATGGCCTACTTCACTACGAAAAACTGCACCCGCTCCTAAAATCTCCGGGTTACCTTGACAAGCTCCTTCGTTATTCAATTTCAAGCTCCAAAATCTCGCGCGGTGTCCACGCTATATTGAGATGACAGTATGGCGCTCGAGCAAGTTTGGCATTAGCCTGCAAAATCTCTTTTGAGGTCTCCACAATGTTACGCCAAATCCCATAATCCTCCTGAGCAAGTTCATCAGTATAAAAAATTCTCTTGCATCTCACAGTCCAAAGTCTTCATATTGTAGATGCAAAAAAGTGCGACTCATGCTTGTGATTTATTCCCCAAGTCAAGATTGCTGAACAACCAACTGTGAACATCCTGTGAAAAGAAATCATTTTGCATGGAATCTTGATGATAGAGCCATATAGTCCTAGTCGTCCCACAATTTCCCAAAATGTGAGATAAGTTCTCCAAGGGGCATCCACAAATGCTACAGCTAGGCAAATCAGTCATTCCACGATATGCTCTTCGTGCATTAGTAAGGAGCCTATCTATCCAAGCTAAACAAATAAAGGTTTTCTACCTATGAGGGACAAGAAGCTTCCAAATCCAAGTAAAACGCAAATCCTGGTGATTGGAATGACCATCAATGATTGACACATATGCTGATTGAGTACAAAATATATCATTAAGAGTAAATTTCCAGAAAAATGAATCTTTCATGATGGAGAATTTTGGGATCGGATACCCCCATAATTTTACTAGCAACTTCCTTCGACACCTGAGAAAAATTCTATTCAAGTTCCATTTTTTTCATCCGTAATAAACTCACTTACCTTTGTCGTGCTCTCCATTAAAACAATCGATACGTTTTGAAATTGACAACCCTAACCAATTATCCATCCAAAATAGGGTATCTTCACCATCACCGATTCTATGAATCATACCATCTGCTAGGCTTTCTAAAACATAAAATAAGCTCTTCCACGCATGGGATCAGGAGGACCGATGTTGATGAGGAATGGATGCATAGACCAGCAAGATATCACCAACTCCATAGACCGACTTAAAGGCTTTCACCCATAGACCATCTAACTGGGTAAAAAATCTCCAAGCAGTCTTCTGAAGTAGAACGAGGTTATGTTGTCTCATTTTCCTGAGTCCTAGACCCCCAAAACGGCTTGTCGTAACCGATTTTCGCCCGGGTACGAATTTTTCTTGGCGGGAAAATAATGTGAATAAATAAATTATTTTTATGAAATATTTTGAGAGTCTCCATCGACCTTTAAGGTTATATAGATTGAATACCTAAAAATCATCTTTTAAAAGAGTTTTTAAGAAAACATCATTTTTAAAAGATAAAATAGTCTGCATTTAACCAAAAATTCGTTTTTTTTAAATGATAAAAAGGGATTCGTGGTCGGTTACGTTTGGGGAAGGATTAGCATCCTTACAACGCCCAAAATTGGTACCCGTTGATTATAAATTGTCTCTATCAGTAGGAATTTAATAATTCTGATATATATTTAATTTATGATCCTGTTATTTCAGATCCAATCGAATAATTAAAATAATTTTTATAAAATTAAAGTATATATATATATATATATAGGTTTTATAAATAGAGTATTTAATTTAAAAAATATCAGAAAAGGAAATCTAGTTACTTTAAGATAATCACTTTTTTTAATATTAAAAAAAATAAATAAGTATTAATAAGAATATATAAAAAATAATAATTTGAATGAAACTTAAAACAAATATATATATATATAAATATATTATAAGTAATATATTTATTTATTTATTTAAAAATATCGAAATAGGACCTTTAGTTAATTTAAGACAACCCTTTCTTAATATTTAAAAATAAATAAATATTATTATTTAATCAAATATATATATTCATATGAAAATAATAATTAAAGTACAAAAATAAAAATATTGAAAACTAAAGGGCAATAATAAAAATAAAATAAAATTGTAATAAAAAATGACCAAAATAAAAGGAATTAAAAGCTATAGGATTAACTTGTAAAATATAAAAATTAATGGAAATAATTCGAAATATTATAAAATCTAAGTACTAACAATGTGTTTTAACCATAAATAATAAATTCGGTATTAAAATATAAATTATTAAAACATTAAGGACTAAATAAGCTATTTATCCTAAAATATATATGAATAAACAGGCAAGGATTAAATTGAAATAAAATAAACTTCAAAGACAAAATTAAAAATGCCCAGTAATTTAATTCGGTGACTGAAATGGAAATTTATAAAACAGAGGGACTGCGCGTGTGGTTTTCCCATGTGGGAAATTACACAGGACCCCTTCCCAAAACGACGTCATTCGGGGAGAGGTATATAAACCCAAAATCCGACCTTTAAGGGCGTAACTCTCTCCATTTCTATTTTTGCTTCTCTCTCCATAGAGATAGAAGCTCTCATTTTCTCTAGTTTTCCCTCGCCGGAGGGAAAACATTCGTCGGTCGATAGCCTTACGTCGCCGTCAACCGTCGCCGGCCACTATTGTCGGTGGCCGAAAATTCCCAAATTACCCTAAAATACAAATCCCAACACCTAAAGACCGAATATGGCCTAATTGTTTTACTAAATCCCCTTAGATCGACGTAGATCTAAGGTTATTTACCTTTGATGTTTCGGTTTTCCAGTTCTGTAAGGAGGCTCCAATGACTGTAGTCTCTTCAGTAAGTTTCTCTACTCTTTCGGTTTAATGTTTGGTTGTGTTTGGTTGTTCGTATTTGTCTTGTTTTGCTTGCTTTCGATGGTTGCTATTGTTGGTTGTTATTGTAGTGGTTCCCCGTTCTTGCCCTCTTTTTTATTTTCAAGGTTTAGTGGTGGCTTTATAGGCCACCACGGTGTTCTGCTCGGACCGGTCCCAAGAGGGATTTCTCGGTGAGTCACCAAACGTAGTTTGGTGACTCACCATAGAGGTTCGACGTGGGTGACCATCTAGCCTTCTGGAGACTTCGGTGAGAGTTAGGGCGTGGCAGCTGAGCGTCGGTGAGGTGGTGGCAGTAGAGGCGGCGGGCACGTGGTCCCTAGGGTATCATAACCCTAGGGTTTCTTGTTGGAGAGCTCTGGATCGTTGGATCTGGATGATGATGTTGGCGGCTGGGTGCCGAGATGATGAAACCCTAGTTAGGTTTAAGGTTACTGCTGGACCGGGTCGGGTGTCGGGTCAACCCGAATCTATGCCTTCTCAGGTTTGGGCTTGGATCGGGTCTCCTTTGTACTCTAGGCCCCAGATTTGGATCTGGGATCCAGCTGTAATTGGGCTTCCAGGTTTGGGACTGGAATATTATTTGTAATTATTTATTATTTAATAATAATAATAAAATATTAATATTAATAATAAAAATAAATAACAAATGGATAAAAAAAACTAGTGTCTACAACTGCCCCTCTTTGCTCATTCTTGTGTTAACAAGAATATGGCAAAGACGAAAAGATAATAAGTTTTTTTTTTCATTTGACTTATCATGGTTAAGACATAAATGTTAAACAAATTATTCTTATTATGAACTTCTTCTTCCTCTTCAGATGAGTTCTTCTTATTACAAACTCCTTCTGGAAATGTTTTAAGAAAAACAATCTCAAGTGAGATAGATTGCTATTTCGAGTTAAACTTTTGCAAGCAAGAAAAAGTTTGTTTTAAGAAAAACAATCTCAAGTGAGATAAATTGTTATTTCGAGTGAAACTTTCTCAAGCGAGAAAAAGTTTGTTTTAAGAAAAACAATCTCATGTAAGATAAATTGCTATTTCAAGTGAAACTTTCTCCAGCGAGAAAAAGTTTGTTTTAAGAAAAACAATCTCAAGTGAGATAAGTTGCTATTTCGAGTGAAACTTGTCTCAAGCAAGACAAATCTTTGTTTCGAAAATGTTTAATCTGAAAATGAATGCTCCTTTTTGCTGAGGAAGTCTTTTTGACTTTTAATCTCATTCTTTCTTAAAAGATCTAAAAAATTGTATATGAATGCAACTAACCTAAATGTCCTCACGAGAAGAGAAAATGTCCTTGAGAAAGACAAGATTTCAAGATAAATTTTAAGGGTACTCTCGTGAGAGAAAAAATTCAAATTTTATTGCCTAAGATGATGGATGTTTGATGCAATGATGCAAAATCATGTATGTGTATGCCGATGCATGTTTTCTCGACTAAGGGCAATGAAGAGGTGCTCAAGCAATCTTGGTTCTCTTCATGATTTGTTTCCCTTCTATGCTCCCTAACATTCAAGTTCTTTGCTCCAATTTTGTTCTTGATAAAACTAATTTTCTTTTACTGGACTTGTGTAGAAATCCAATAAAGCTTTTATCTTTGAAAAGAAAATCTATCATCTT